TTAATACTTCAGAAAAAAAAACTCGTGCATAAACATTTATTTAAAATATTTCTAATAAAAAAAACAAGAATTGCTTCAATTTTTAATAAGAAAAAAGAAATTCTTTAATTTCAGATTTCAAACAAAAAATGCCTTCGAACAACAGGAATATCTCTGAGCTTTATCAATATAATATTAAACGCTTAATAATCTTTATTGTTTTTGCTTTAATTCTTGTTGGTTCATGGTGTTTCTGCGGTTCACAATGTTGTACATTTAAATATGATCATTATCTTCGAATATCCATTTGGAATCGTATTGATTTACTTGCTTTTCGTTTTTTCAATCGATGGTTACTTACACATGATAATTATACATTAATTGCAAAATTATTTGTTGCTATTAATTCAATTATTATTGGTGAAATTATTACAAATACAATTTTTATTACAATAACATGTTGGATTTTTTCATCGAGATTTGTACTTTCAAATCATAGACGTTTATTCAAAATATCTGTTCTATTAGCTATGATGATCTATGGAATGGCTGGACAAATGTTATTATCAAAACTCTCAAGAGATTATTTATGTCCAAAACGACCATCACCATCCGTTGTATTTCGTTTTTCAACTGTCAATCTTGAACGTCAAGCTATATCATCATCAATGTCAAATTCATTTACTATTGATCGTTTATTTGAAGAAGCAAAAAATCGTGATCTTGTTAAAGAAATTGCTTATGATAGGTAATTTACTATGTCACAAGAATTTCAACTTCTTATGAAAATTCGAATCTATTTATTCAGAAATTCAATATGTCATAGTGATTTATCATAAAAAATAATATTCAGTGTAAAATAAAAGGGCAATTATTAAATATTCTCATTTGATTTCAATCAAAGTAACTCACTTATTCCAATGAAAAGTTAACAGATTAAGTTTAAATCTAACTAAAAGAGAATAGTAGAAAGATAAAAATAATTTTTTATTCCATTGTATTAAATGAAGCAGGAAATTATTGACGAACTATGAAATGACCTAGTACTCTAATCTAATATCTCATTATGATGATTTCCATAAAAATAGAATGTCCCATTTCAATCGACTACATTACACTGATTATAATATACAAAATACTCATTCTCTTTGCATTCATACTTTATGCAGGGAAAGTTAGCTTTCCCTATATGAATAATACATGCAAAAAGAAGTACTCCTTTTATTTTAATCAGTGAAACAAATATATAGTAACCTTCTTATAATTCCGATTTAACATACAAATTCTATGAAGTATTGTATGGTATTTAGTGAAAAGCATTTTCAAGAATTTTCACTTAATTTAATCAAACAGATATATATATATACATTATTGTTTTCACTTTAGTTGGCCCGGAGAACATACAGCAACAAACATGATTTGGTCTTTATTCATGTCAACTATTATCAATCGATCATCAAGATCATTACCGCGAACAAAACGGTTTTTCATGCATACAATTGTATGGTTTTGCGCTATTCTATTTTCAGTAGCACGTTTAGTTAGTGGTGCGCATTGGTTATCTGATTGTGTTGCTGGTGGACTCAGTGAAGCATTAATAGTGGTAGCTATTGGCATTTATACACCAATATTTCAATTTACTACAAGAATCATTTACTGGTTAATTAGCAGATCAAATACAAATGAAAAAAAACTTCCTTGATGTTTCTTTTGTTTGTTGTATAAAAAATAGAACTTGGATTTAGAAAAGAAAATACAATGGAATGAATACACTTACTATTCAAATATCAAGTGCTTCAATATATAACATAATATTTTCACTATCGCTGAAGAGCAGCAATTACACATACATGGAAAAACAAATAGAACACTTGATTTTATCTTATATGAAATGTTTGTGAGGAGAAAAATAATAATAGTTTCTAATATTCAATAGGTAAACCAAATAACCCTACTTCACACAATCTATATAAAGACTATCTAATTCTATAGAAAACATCATGAATAAAGACAGTAAATATTAATCATATAAAATGAATATTATATTGTATTAAACTTTAGAACCTTTTCCGCACAATCTATATATTAATTCATTAATTATTAAAGAAAAAAAAAATAAATAAGTAAATAAATACTGTTAACATCATATATTACGTATCAGCATGTATCATATAAATAAACAGTATCTTTTCGTTATTGTATACATTCTCGAGAATTTATTGTTTTTTTATGAATGATATATAAGACAATGAATTCCCATTATGGTTTGATTCATTCTTCGTTTTATATCGAATGATAAATACTTTGATGAAATGCGGCATCAACTACTTAATCGATAGGAAGTCTGATTAAGAGACATTTTTTTTTGTTTTAGATAAAAATCGAACAAACAAATAGTTCTTCTTTTCTTTTTCTATGAATAGAAACATATATATGCTCTTTTGCAATTCCGATTAGTTGATTCGAAGATGTACAATCTGTTAGAATCATTAGAAAATCGATTGATGATCCGTCGTTTCATGTGTCATTGTAAGAGAAAAAAAGGAAGACAATTGTTCTATTGATTGGCGGAACAGCAAATCAATATCATTAAATAGAAAAGAAAATAGCTAAAACAGTATCTCATTTTACACATATTCGCTAACTGAAGCATTATTTTCTTTTTGTTTAAATGAATACTGATACTACACGTCGAAGACGGCGAATGTCTCCAACAATTTCAAGTAATAAATTGTCTTCAAATGTAAAATGGATTAAACCTCGTTATTTAGCAAATCAACGTGAACGTGATCGAACACATTCAGTTAATTCAGCATTTATTGAATTACGTCATCTGATTCCAACTGAACCAGCCGATAGAAAATTATCAAAAATTGAAACACTTCGTCTTGCTGTTAGTTATATAAATCATCTTCATTGTGTACTTAGCTTACCTAATGTAACACAAAATCATTGTGCTTTTATTAAAATGAGAAATAATGAAAATAATCATGATGATAATAATGAACAACATTTATGCACGTTTTGTGTTAATCATTCATCGTTATCAGATTAAATTATTAAATACATCTATATGAATACACAAAAACTTGAAGCTAAAAATAATCATTGTTTCTATGCGTTAAATCTACCGGAGAAAAATAATATGACAATTATTTTTACTTCATAAGAAAGTTCATTAATTGTATATAAATGAAATTATTAACGCTTTGTTTTTTTTTCATCTTTATTAGTAAACTTTATAGAGAGAACAAAAAACAGCAAAATATCATTTTCTTCGCATGTTTTACGAGTGGCGTGTTGAATATAAATGAATAAAAAAGAAAGGATATTAACTTTTTTTCATTAAAATAGCCAATAAAGAGATCAAGATTCTGGCGATATTATTAAATATAATCCAGGTAATAATTTCTTTTGTACGCATTGTTAAAATTTTATAAATGAGAAATTTTATTAAGTACAACATTTATTGATTGATCATGATTTGGTGTTAGAATGAATTTTCGACATGTTATTGTTTGAATAAATTCAGCACGAAATATTCGACTAGTTAAACAATATAAGTAAAAATTTGAAGCAAAATGTATATACATAAAAGCACGAAGCATACGAAATATAAATGTAAATAAGACATTGTTTCGTGCAAAATTTTGATTTTTTGTAATAACTTGTTCAAGTAGAATAAGGTGTATTGTTACAGGTAATGTTGTAAAAAGAAATACAATAACACAAGCTGCCATCATTAATGACATTTGTCTTTCCATGGCTTTTCGATGTGTTATAGATGCTTTTTGAATAGGTGAAATACCATTTAATGCTTGTTGCATATTTATTGGTGTAGCTTCTTCCTGTGATCTATTATTATTTGGATTTTCTAAATGATATGTTTGTTTTTTACGAAGATAGACTATGTTAACATTACATAATATCATAATGCAAGCAGGTAAAAAACAAAAAATAATCATATCAATTTTTGGCCAAATTATTTTATAAAAATAATAATACTTTGGATATGTATCACGATTTTCTAAACAATGTGCCATTGTACGATTTTCACTACGTTCTTGTCCGATACCAGGTGAAAAATAATGTCCATTTATAGCACATAAAGTAAGAAAAAATATTAATATCATTATTAATGCATTACGTGGCGTACAAATAATTTTTGAACTTATAGGTAATCGAATACGTAAATATCTATCAAATGCTAAACCGGCTAGACACCATGATGATAAATCCATAAAAACATAGGCAAAAAATGTACGAAGACGACATGCTAATGCTGAATAATTTTGTAGCTTAATTGAAAATGCATCAGCCAGAAAAAACCATAATGATGTTACAAGTGCAACACTATCACTTATTGATAATGTAAGAAGAAATATGCTACTTGAAATTTGACGCATCCGTCGACTGGAAAATGTCATAAGAGCAAATGTATTACCAAGAAAACCTAATATATAAACTATTGAATAGATAATTGTTCCAATACGATCACCTAATATATAATAATCAGTAAACTTCGTTGTTTGATTGGATGAAACATTTACAGTGAGATTTAAGTGATAGTTTGAAATTGCCATTTGTTTATTAATGAAATGACAACCATATGAAAGAGCGACGAGACATTCCTTGTTAAAGATATATGACGAGAAACAGAGACAAGTTCATTTTTTTTTAACAAGTCAATTTGCCCTTCATCTCATTTGCCTACAAGAAGAAAAGAATAAATGAATTCACGAAAAAAAAAATTATCTTCATTGGAAAAGTAAGATCTTTTCTAATGCGCAGATAATCCTCCTTTTTCTTGTCTAACATTATTAGTAATAAGTACCTTTTTTCTTTTCATTATCATGAATAACTCAAATCTTATAGGTCTTTACTTGTCGTCATTGCTTATTGCAATATTAACTATTCTTCTATATCATTGTGTCTAATCTAGTCTATATAAGTGAAAGAGGAAAATAAAAAATGATGCTCTACTATCAAGGACAAAAAATATTGTTCTCTCCAAATGTTCATCAGTAGACATGTAATGAAGAAAGAAAATTTATTTTATTTACAGGTTGTTCTTTAATATCTTCTTGCAATAATGTCATTTTTAATGAATCTTCATGAGATGATGGATCAGTTTTATTGTTTTTTGGTGGTGACACTGAAGATAATCGGCAAGTTGACGCATGTTTTTGTGGTAATGGTAAATATACATATTCACCATTTGGTAAAGTTATATTAATAATATATGATGATGAAGGATCTGTTATAATATGTGAAGATGATATATCTAATTCGTTTGGTGAATAAGTTTTAGGTAATTCAGCAACATTCGATGATATTGTTGAAAATGGTATAGATATTTCATGACAACTGGCTGAACGACCACAAGGTCGTAATAAATTATGTTTCTCACTTTGAGTAAAATATGGTCGAATCCAATATGTCGCTTCTGATGTTGTATACCGTTCTAGATCGTCTTTGTTAATGTGTGAAAATGGGAATTTCCTTGATAATGGATTATCAACCTACAGAAAAAAGGAGGAAGAAAACAAAGAAATGTTGATAAAATCAAACACAAAACGGAAATGAACTTCGCATGTTTCATGATAGATAGCTTCACATTGCTTTTCATTTCTAGGTGTATATATATAGATTAAAGTAGACAGACGGAAAAGAAAAAAATTTGAAGAACAATTAATTTGAACCTAAATTAAGATGTCTATTTGTAATTGTCAGAATATTTTTATTTGACTATTATTATAATCAAGGAAAAAAAACATTTACTGAATGTATCTATAATTAATATTTAATATTTATGCAAAATAAAATAAAAAATTTTATCATTTTTTGTAATTATTTGAGAAATGAAATAAAAATAAAGAGTTATAATTTTCATTGGTGAGAGAATGTTATGCATTATTTGTTTTTTGCAATCTATAAAATGAGTTCAATGTTGAAAATGAAAAGAAAAAATTCTTTGCTACCTTCTGTGCAAATTAGCGTGATATCGAACAAACTTAATTCTGATTTTTTTCTGGAAATAATATTTGACATATTTTCTTCAATAATCAAAAATGATGGCAGTGTAGAATAAAATAACGGTTCAATTATCATCTACTATCTATTTATTGTATCTGTTGAGTTCAAATAAACGTTTTCTATGGAAACGAAAAATCAAATTATTCTGTAAGACAATATAGAATTAAACAAAATATTAGTGCTAAAAAAACAATATTGAAAAGTTCAATATTTATTAATAAGTTTTTTATTATTATCATCAATACATGCATCGAGTCAATCGAGCATATCAAAATAATTAATGCGTATATAATATAATTGTATCCGCCGGCTCGTTTTATCAATTTTAAATATTTTAAGACATACTAACTATTTCATAAAAAGAAACTTCGAACAATCCTTAAAGTACTAATTATAAAATATGGGACATATAATTTAATAAAAAATAATATCAAAAAAAAGGAAACCTACTGGTATTATATTCATATAAGTATCTTTTCCATGATGATGACGAAGATGATGATGGTAATATCTTTTATGTGTCTTTAGTTTTGCTAAATGATGCCAATCATTGTTTGCATTAAATCTTTCTATTGTATAACGATCTTCATATTTACTTTCAATTAAAAAACATAAAACACTTTTAGCATGTAAACGAAAACGTCGACTTATTAATATACATATAAAACATTTATATCCATATGATAAAGTTATAAAAGATTGAGCTTCATGATTAAAATTAATTAAATATGGATAGTAAGATGATGCATATGCTGATGAAAACAATAATAAAAGATCACTTAAACGTGCTGGTAAATTAAATAATGCATGCAAAATACCAATTGTTCCAGCTATGTAATAAAATGAAGAACATTCTTTATTCATATATGCATTATTTCGACATGTGCGATAAATAATAATTATTGATATAACAAGTATTATAATACAAGGTATAGCAACGCCAAGTAAATTATAACCATAATTTGTTACATTTAATAATTGTATACTTTTACCGTCTAACTGAGTTGAACACACACCAGGAACACCTCCTACTTATGTAAAAAGTTTGAAAAAACGTTTTTCTTTTTATTTTCTTCTTTTTACCTTGTTGATAATCTTGTGAATCTTCTTTTTTTTGATATTTAAGAACTTCAATTGGATATATATTGTAAACGCTAAAAATAAATACAAGAAAAACAGTTGAATATTTTGCATTAACATAATATAAACCACGATTCCAACATGAACGATGACGATGATGATGACCATCATCATGATCATCATTATTGTCATTATTATATTCCATGGTAAGTATAAGTTGATTAATAATTAAAAATAATAATAACCATGTTGTTAAAAGAACACTCATTTTAGCAATATAAGTAAAAAATTTACAACAAAAATCTGATACATGTATAAGATAATGTTGACCAGTTGATCGATCATCATGTATATAACTTAAAAAATTGTCAACAAAATGATAAATTATTAAAAGTGTATCAACAAAAACAATTTCAAATAAAAATCTTTCAAATGAACCTGTTGATTGTATTTTTATAAATGATAAACGCGATAAAACACTTTGACGTCTACTAAATAAACCAATACGCATAAGTATAACTAATAAAAGTATATTGGACGGTAGACCAAGTAATGCTGAACATACAGCAAAAAAAACATATTTATTATAGTGCATTGTAATGAAGGAATCATATAAACCATTTGTTTCATTAAAACCAAATAAATATGTTGATCTATTATTATTCATTACGTTTGTAAACATCTAATAAGATAAAAAATATACATGCAAAAAAAAAACAAGAAAAATCAATCAAAAAACAGAAGTAAGCATATATTATATTTATTGGAGTAGGCTAAAAAGTCGGATGCAGTTTTTCTATAAAATAAATTCGTCATGCAAAGTTCATACTTGTTTAAAATACTTATTTTATAGTAAGACTTTAATATATTTAAGTGTGTTTTTTTTTCTATCTTCACTTGTTTCTGGTGATTAAATCCCTTGATAGACAAAATCAATAAAGAAAAATGTGTTAACATGTGTGCTTTTTACGTTTTGAAAAGAAAAAAGAATTGTTCTTAAACAAGAAAGCAAGCCTCGAGATAAGAATGTCCACAAACTTGATTTTTACAAAAATAAAAATCGATTTTTTTTTCTAGAGTAAAAAGCAAATAATATAACGCGTTAAAATATGACCTTGCCTATCTGGTTTACCGATCAAAATAACGATATTATTGTCATAGCCAGAATGGTACGATTAAGTTTCATAGAGTAATGCTACACCATCATTCATCATTAGCATGATTTAACTAGTATTTTCCTTTTCTTTTTCATGTTATGCGAACTATAACAGTATTGCTTGTCACTCATATGAAACAGATACGTGCTTTTTGAAAAGCAGATGTAGGATGGGCGTATATGAAAATAATCAAATGCTCTTGTTTTCTTTTTCTTTTTATAAGAAAGAAAAATGAAAGAAGATTTAGATGAAAAATGAAATACATTCATGTGATAGAGATCCAATCAATTGGATGAAAATTTTATTATGTCTTTCTTTGCTACTTACTGTGATGATAATAGTGTTAAAAATTAGCATTAATAGAATTCTTCTCATTTTTTATTCTAGGAGATTATAACTTTCCTTTTCTAAGAAATACACTCACAAAATATATAAAAAAAAGTGCACCAGAATGACAATGAATGAAAGAATCGGTGCTTATATTCTGTTGTATATTTCGCATAATCATTAAGTGTCGGCTGTGAAAATAAAACATTTATTTTTTCAACAAACTACTTCCATGATGTATGCTTTATAAACAAAAAAAAAAGAAACATTTCTTTTTTCCGACTATGTACTTCAAACAAATTAGGAAAACCTATATGATCTTGCTAATGAAAGAAATTTTTGTTCTCTTTCAGTTACTTCTGACAGTCGTCATTCTTATATAAGAAAAAAATCTAAGTCTCAGAATTACTGAATGTAATTTTAATTATAATATCATAGTTTCTATTCTCTGTCATCAATCGGCTTAAGAAAAAACAAAAAGAAAAACATAAGAAAACCAATAATATGTTGGCTGTCATAAACATTAGTCTTTTTTCTTCTCTTCTTTATTTTCTTTTGCATTGTTATTGCAAATTATCATGCCGTATAATATTGGCATTCACACATGCTGCTTTTAGTTTTTGACATTGTCCACTTAAATAATATTAATATTTATGAGATTGTATAAAATACAAAGAGTTGTTTTGTTTTTGTTTTTATTTTTATTAATGTACGACAATAAATCAAAAACAACATTGATAACCATTGAAAATAAGACTCATATATAATTCAATGTGATATATTCAATGGAGACAGTGATTTTGATCGAAATTATTATTGCGGAACTAATTAAAAAAGAGTTTTAAGTAGCTATATAATATATATATATATATATATATTTATTTATTTTCCTATTGGTTGATGAAATTAGATTTTTAAACTTTTATTTTCAATCAAAGTGCAATAAATTGAAATGTCACTGTCGTAAATTTCAAATCATATTTACACTTACAGAATGACAACGTCAGGTTGTTAAAAATAATGTTAGGAAAAGAAAATGATATTGTGACTTGTGTGTAAAATGAAAGATTGCGCATATTAATATGTGACTACAGTTCTAAATTCTATATTATCAAAGAAAATAATTAATAACTTAAAAGTGGTTATCCTCACGAAATGAGCCTATGTCATAATTAGTACTGAAATACAGAGTAAAAAATATTCATTGTTTGTGTTTTTTTCTTTCATCGTTATTAATATAAATAGAAAAGGATTTATTTTAAATACTAAAAAAGTTCAAAGAAGATAAATGATTCATATTAACTTTAAAAGACTTTTTTAATGAATAATGAAGAAATTATTTTCATTTGGTTTTATTATAAAAAATAATAGATAAAATCATTTGTATTGCCTCTTGACAGACAAAATGTTTTTACAATAGCTAATTCAAGGAGACTAAACATATACAGAGACAATCTTATATACATATAATCCTTTTTTTTATAAAAAAAAAGCAAGAGAAAATTGCAAAATTCTTTACTTTGTTTATTAAATGGTATGGATTCATCTTTCAGATTAAAATAAATAGTCTTGAATTGTTTTTAGATGTAAGATGCACATCAATAAAAAATTTTTAAGAAAAAAAGAATGATTTTGATACAATTAATAACTATGGAAAAATACGGTTTATTAATCTCTGTCTGGAAATAGGAGATCATGTTTTAGGCTGAGATTAGCAGTGTGTAATATAAATGAAAGAAAAAAGTACTTTGCTTTTTTTGTAAGAAATTGTATGCATTGTTTCGTACGTAAAAAGACGTAACTATAATATTTTATGCAAATGAAAATAAGTCATTCATATAAATTTCTTGTTAATATTATTAATAACTTGCTCTCTCACCTACTAATATTGCAAATTTTTTGTTTCTGTGAACTAAATTAATCCTAAGTTGTTTTTTTACAAGTTACATTTTATAGGATAAAAATGACTGATAGCACGAAAGAGTAATTCAATATGGGAGTATCTACCAATTCTTTACATCGCAGTAGATGACAAGATGCTAATAGCACTAACTAGTTTTTTGTTCTAATGTTGAAAGTAACGCCTACTATTAGCATCATCTTTATATATCAAGCATCTTGACAAATTTCATTTGAAATTAATGAACGTCCTAACAAGATTTTTTGGTAATTCAAAATAAAATCGTTTTAGAATATATTTGAACAACTTATCATTAAACGATAATTACTAACAATGAAAAACTCTTTTGGTAGTGCATACTTACAGATGTAGAGAATTTTAACCGTATCTATTAATCGTGGAAATGCTTCCTTATTATAATTTTTATGTGTATTAACAGTTACCACATCTAACTTAGAAGAATACTGTATTACTGTTTGAAATCGGTGGTGTTCATGTTTCAAAGAAATGTTGGATACAATATTCCTTTAAACAACAAGGGCTTTCAAAAGTTCTACTCGGTCTATTGAAGAACTCTTGAGAGTAGAAAAAAATTTCTTCATACAGTAAACATGAATCTTGAACACTTTTCTATACTTCAATGAATTAGAATTGAATAAACATGAAATTACTATATCTAGTCATGAAAATTGAAGTATTTAGATAAGACTCTTTCGTAAAAATAATTTGCAATGACTTCCACGACCAAAAAGAAAAATTTCATTAACTACAGTCTCTTGACTTCCACGAGGACGATACCATACCGGAAAAGCAAACATCAAATTAAGATTGGTTTTTACTCTTTGTATTGGCATCCTTATAAAACCCTGAAAGCAACGTATTCTCTTCTTTTTTGAGCTCTCTTGCTTCTTGAAGAGGCTACAACTGCTCAGACTGAAATTTTTACTACAGAAAGAACATTTAAATTAAGAAGACACATGCTTGGGGAAAAATATTTCTCAGCGAGTTTTACAAGAGACTTTATGCTGGTACATTACGACTCTATCAAATTTTATTCTATAGACTTAAAATATTTTTTGAAGATATCCAGAACTGTATCTTAGAGCTATTTTTCAGCTTTTTTGGAACTTTTTTTTTGAACCTTATATAACTGGACGCGAAGATCGAAAACAAAAATAGATAATTATAGATCTAGAGAATATTTCTGAGTATTTGTATGAACAATTTCAGTTTGGCCGATTATACTCTCTTGGACAACCAGAAATGATCAAAAAAAGAGTACAGTTTAGTCTCGTGAAATCTTGCACACAAGTAACTAACATAAGATAAGTAACTAATTAAAATGTATTGTCTACCGACTAATCTATTCAAGGATTATGAATATCACTGATTGACTAGTACGTTGTTCTTTGAAATTTGATGAGCGTTTCTTTTCTCTTATTTCTATCACTCTCATGATCAGCCTAGCATTTTGATAAATCTTTTAGATTTTTCTAATCATGCAGAATATTTTCAGTTGGTTTTTTAAGATGTAGATACGAAGTCTAAGAATATACTTTTGAATTATATCGATATTAACCTGCTTACAGACCAAATCGTTATTGATAACTAAAGAAGAAGAAAAAAACATCACTGACTGTTAATGCAGCCTATTTCTGAAATATTTGATAGGAATTTTTCTGTACTGAATGGATTACATACTCATTCGATTCAACAACCAATTTGGGTAATATATCCAGAATATAAAAAGAAAAGTTGATTGCCAGTTATAAAATCAACAATATTTATTTGACTACAAGCCAACATTTGGTTTTATTCTATTTATTATGTCAATAAATCGATAATGGCACAGTAAAAAGCTTTTATTAATTTCTAGTGATGAGATTGAGAACGAGTTCGAGTAAAAAATCTCTTTACTCACGATATGTCAGCAATAAATACCATACGTATTGATAGAAGATTGTTTTCGAGAAAATCACGTATTTTTTATTCCATTCCATATGTTATCATTAATCATTTCATTCAATTCTTAGCTTCAGATTGATCATCACAAACACAGCATCCTTCATTTTCCATAATAGTCATATCTATCTAATTAATTTATTTTTCTTCTAGAGAAAGATTGTGCTTTATTAGCAGTTTCATTGATTAAACCATTATTATAAAATCCATTTTTTTTATGATTCAACAAATCTTCGCAATGATATTTTTTAATAGAAAAAAAAATGAAATCATTTAATCTAATTAAAGTTTTCATTAATACTTTAATTGAAATACAATATG